TGTATCGAATTGATTCCAACGACGTACAGATGTGCCTTCGACCAAATCTTCAACCTCCATATTGTGAACAGTACGAGGTCACGAGTGATTCGATAACTGTCATGTCACCAAAATGTAATTGATTTCAGATTTCAAAATCACAATGGTGCCAAATTACTAATAGAGTTAATTTTGACTTTGTGATTAATTAGATTTGTTATAAACAATTCCGAACAATTAGAGAATTATGTTAATAATCATTGCTAATTGTCTAGAAGGAAAATTTGCAGTGAGGGAGACAGCGATATCGGAGCAAAGGCACCGATCTTTGGTTTCGGAGGTGGATGAGTCGACCGATGAACTTGTCGAAATTCCCGGACCTCAGATAATTCACCCGGTACTTATCGAGTCACCACCTTCATCCCATATCCAATCGGAAATGAAACCTGGCGAGCACAGTTCCGGAAGTGTTAAGGGTGAAGCAGAATGGACGAGAAGCCCAACAACACCACACATGTCAGTTGAAAATTATATTTTGAGAGCACACATCAGCCTTTCCACAGATCCCACAAATTTCAGACCACTCATTTCGCTGGACCGTCATGATATCGAAGATTTACCGCCAGACGCCTTCGAGGTCACCTTCCCACCTTTTATCACCGTTGTACCGCGACTGTTTACTACTATCGACAGTACAGAGAGAGGATTGCTACCGATTCGCCCAGTGGTAATCAGTGTTTTCGACCATTTTTTCGATTTAAATTCCTCATATATTTATTTATTTATTCAATTAATCGTTTCATAGCGTTTGCATAATTGGGTCATTTCAAATTTTCAGAAGCAAATTTTGAAGGCACAATTATAAATAAAGCTCTAATTTAGGGGAATGGAACACAAGGTAGACAGTCAGAAACTTTTGAAACCGCACCAACGATATTAGCAACTGATCCTGTTGTTGATAGCAACCGTCCTGAAGTGCTTCCAGAAACTTCTGAACTACCCCCAGTATCGCCAACACAATTTGTTGAAAATATTAAGCCTCTACAGAAAATTAAACCAGAAGAAATTGATTTTGACAATGATGAACAAATAGTCAATCTTTTTCGACCTGATGACGATTCTATCGATAACAGAGTTGAACCGAATAAAGAAAGTGAACCTTCTGAGGTTATTTATCCAGTTTCTATAAAATTACAATTTATTCGTTCATTTAAATTGTATTGAGTGAATTAAAATTGTAATATCATTAGTTCTGCAGAAGTCAGTATCAACAGATTCGTCGATGCAAAGCTTAGCTTCGGAAGATGAAAGAGATTATATGACATTGAGCACCACCAGTAAACCACTCTTCATTTTTACCACATTACCGAAAGTATGTATCACAACACTTTATCCAAACAGTCATTTCATTTCTCAAAAATATTTCCTGAACCTTCGCCGTGCTATTTTCTATTCATTCCATTATGCATTTCTTTAAAATGGAAATTAAAACTTTATTAACAAATGTGTTTAGAAATTAATAAATGTTTAGAAAAGGCCTATGCCGACCAAACCAAAACTGATACCAGCGCACGGTACAGCCTTTACAACAACGCATGGCCCATACGATATTCGAAACGAAGTTAAGATTGAAGCATCCAGCAGCAGTTAGTTCTTTTTTCTCCTATTTAAGCATTCTCGGTATTGTTCAGAAACATTGGTACATTTTATTTTATCGGGAGTTGATTGACATGTGTTCCTCTTCATAGTTCTGCTGTTAAAAAGTGCAGTTTAGATCTCGCCGTTATTATTCCGACAGCAATCATTGCATTATGGCTATTATTACTCGCAGTTATAGCATTGTTTTGCTGCTGCCGAAGGAAGTAAGTCTTTTTGTTACACGTACAGGAAAGGTTAACAATGAGTAAAGTTGGAATGAAAACCGTCGCTTATGGTTGTATTGCAGGCGAGCGGAACGTCACTTCAGGGATATGTACTTTCCTAATCACCAGCAGATCCATCCTATTACCACGACATTTGCGATGCGAAAGGATTCGAAACATTTCGATGGTTCTTACGAAGACCATCCAGAAAAAGCAGCCCGACTAAGCTCCGAGCTCAGTTCATATCAGGTCATTGTGATGATTTTACTTAAATTTCGAAATTTGTAGAGCTTTTCAAGTGGTTTGGAAATCTACAAGAATGGCTATTTTATTCTCAAAAGCTTCATTTACAGAACGGTCGTGTGTCGCTGTACGGTTCCTATTGGAATCTAACAGGCAATGCTTCTAGTAGTTCAACAAACGGTTTACCTGCCGGTAGTAGGCAGAGCCCGTTCTCACAGTACAGTGCACAACAGGTATTGATATTTGACTGATGTGATCTAAGTAATAAATAATTTACCCTAATTATCCTCACCTTAATTTAATATCTGTGACCTGACATTTCAGCGATATATTTATGGTTCTCGGTACTGATTAATTATGGATATAAATTGGAGAGTGCCATTGCAGTTAAACACTTACTCTAGCATAGTTGGCTCGCGACAGTCTCGATTATTAGCCTGACGAGTATGGCAGTGCTACAAGTGCAACATTGCTCAAATCTCTCTTCAAGCCTCTCGACTATCTCAGCATTACAATTTTGTATGTGAAAATTTCCTCATTTTGTACTAGAAGTTGGTATTTCGTCTAGTTATTTGGCCTTATTTTCCGGAAATTAGGGCACTAATTCCGGAACACTGGTTGTCACGGTAAGTAGGCTAATGGAGCGATTAATATTTGTTTCTCATCTCATGAAATTCTTAATTGCAGATTAATTGAACAATTTCAATTTCCACATTGTATGTCTTCGTGACTTATGCTCAATAAGATGTAATGATTATTTCGCATGTTTTGTTCACTTTTATCTGAATACTCAATAACTTGAGTCTGAGCTTTTAATAATTAATTTTAAAAGTCACTAATTAGTATCCAATATTTTGTGTTTAAATAGTCAATGAGTTTTTTTTAGGACTCGGTACATTTCACTTAGTTCTCAGTGAGAGTACTGATAATTTTACTACATTATTATGTTATGCACTACTCTTATCATCCAGCAGGAAATTTTCCAATACGAAACAGTATATTGAAAAATTTTCCCGAGGATTCTTTCAAATTTTGCTTCTCTGGTCATTTGTACTCAGGCGATAGGTAACAACATAATGTAGTAACTATCAACTTAAAGTAGTGGAGCAGATAGGAGCTGACCAGTTATTATTAGTGACGATTCTCCTGTACAATTATCATTCGAATTACTTTCTTCTTGTTAACTTAAAACTTTTTCTCTTCTGTGATGTATCAAATGTCGCAGGCAATTTAATTAGCCATTAAATAAACGAAACAGTCAAATGATTAAAAAAATTATTTGCTTTTGCGAAAGTCAATTTAGTCGTATCATATCGTAAAAGTTGCTCGTTACATGGAGTGGCAGTTGAGATGAGATAATAGCAGGAAATCAAATCGGGAAATATTGATTGTTCACAAATAAACCATAGTAAGAGAAAAGCTGATTTGCTTTTTAACAAAATTGATAATTTCCTCGTCTAATAAATAGGAATTTTTGGTGTATTATGGTTCATATGATCTTTCAGATTTAAAGCAATGTCATAACACGCAAATTTTAAAGTTTTATTCATCTCACTTCGTCGACAGTGAGCTCATTTATTAATTAATTCATTTGTACCTCCGTAATGCATAAATTTGCAATACATGATAGATCAAGAGTTGACAAAACATTCCTCCTGGATGTCAATGAGGTAAGAATGTGACACTCAGTATACCAAATGAAAATCACTTTTCTGTTTAATAGCTATTCTTTTGGCAAAACTTGACCTTTCGGAAATTATGATATAAAGGAGACAATACTTCGAGCATATTTATCGTTGGGCATGTTTTATCGACAAATTTGTAAAACGTTTTTATCGGTGCTTATGAGAAATCATGGTGACAGAGCTATGCTGTAATTTTCCAGTACTTTTCTTTAATTCGATAACGTTTAAATTTCAATGCTTCGGTCAAGAGATCACTATCGACTATCCACGTCTTACGCATAGATAAATCTTTTTTGGTAATTCAATTCACTTTCTTCTCTCAAAATTTATTTCCTAATTAGGATTTAATTTTTTCTGAAATAATTATAATCCATCTATATCTTTTGTCAAAAAAAAATTTTCTGACACATTTTTAATCGATTTCACTCCCTTCTTAGTTAAAATCTTATTAATTTAGCTGTTGTTCGCTTCTTAATTCAAAATTTTGCTAAATGTCCAAATCTCATGAGAAAATAGCCTTTTCAACTACTTCCTTCAGATTTTTAGACTTACAATGGCTATTCTATAGAGCAGTTATTAGGGAATAATGAAATAAATGAAAAAAAAAAGTTGAGACAATTTTGACAACAGTGAAAGATCTATTTGTGACCAATGATCGGGACGTATCTCTTTTCATCCTATCTTTTATTTCATTTATTTAAGCAACGGAACGTAAATATAAACAATTTCCCATAGACTTTTTAGATTAATTGACAGATAAGAAATTACCAGGGAATAATAGTCATTGCAAGAAAGAAAAGAAAACGATCATTTATGAGTGGACGATGACCAATTGTGCAAACGTATTACTTTTTATAATATATTATTGCAATCGTCTCTGATGTGCTCAAACAGATATGAATTTATGAAAAAAAGATGGGAATAAAACAGAAACTGACACAGAAAAAAGGTTAAAATATACCGCATGCAATCAAACACGACCCCCTCAACTGCCAATGACCTTTGAAAATTTCAAATTTGACATTCTCAGGTTCAGTTACTTGCATCTGTCCAAGAACATGGTTCCATACAACTGTTTGATAGTCTTTCGTCAAAATTCAAATGATTCCCTCTCTTCTTTATAACTTAGATTTCCATGTGTGACTGGTCTAATTTTAGCGTCAGCGTAAATGGACTTGAATAACAACATGGCAACCACCGAATCCAAATTAAGGCATGTGTATTGCATAGAAAAAAAATTACCTCCTTGATGGAAAAGTCCATTTTTTTGAATTATATAAAAATAGCAATCCTGAAAATACGACCCAAAACTGTTTTATTTTAGCCGCATGAAAGCACCATTTAAAAAGTAACTCAAACAATTACTTAATTGCTTACAAATGTAATTTAATGATATCTCATTAAAATTTGAACAATTCACCAGAAATGTCAATTCGGCTGTGATCTCTGGGATATGCACAAATGGAAAATAATCAATGTATGCATCGGTGTTACGGACGATGCCCGTTCAGCTACCGTTGATACGATATTATAATATCGTATCAATATGTGATAATCCTTAACAGCCCCAGTGGTGCCACTGTGTACATTATTATCCCTATATTGCTTTTCCTAGTTGATCAAACTTCTACAATATTTGATTAAATCAATTTTTTCACTGATCCATAATGTCAGTAAAATAAAAGCCATAAGCTAATAACAAAGATAGTAGCATTTAGCCGAAAATAGTAAAATAGCAACCTGAAGTATCTCTCCATTCGTCCAACGCGACAAACTTTCGAACTGTTCCGTAATGGTATTCATGTTTTCGATAACAGTTACCTGATGTTATCAACAATTGCTTGAATTATTGCCTTAAAAAGTTAAAATAAAATAAAAGTAAACTACTGAAAATGTATATTGAATACAAACAAATTCAGAAATTGTGCATCATTAATTTACTTTATTTCAGCTAAATTAATTACATTAAAAAGTGATAATATTTTGTCTCGTACCATTGCATAAACTGTAGTTACCGGGCACATTAATGCGGAAGATAATGCAATAATAAAAAAAATAATTGCCTGAAATAAAGTCATTTGTAAAATATAAACAAAGCATAAAATTTCACGAATTTCTATTAAAATTTCACTGTCAATCATTCTTCAGGTAGTTTTTAAGCCGAAACAATTTTATTACTAAATTCACTATCTTACTAACTGAATTCTGCTTTAATTAATAACCTATTTGCTTATAGCATGTAAACATATCCGAAATAACTCGTTGCAATTTCGGCACTTGAACCTTTTCAAACACACGTCCATTAGACTGCCTTTTCTTGTCTACTTCTAGCCGTTCTCGTATATTCAACGCTGCCGTACAATTTATTAACTGTATTCTCCCCTATTGGACTGACTACATTGTATCGTAAACTATTTGCACCCTTCGTTCATTTTACCTAAATCTATCAAACTTAAATGCGATCAATAAAATTCAACGCTTTCATTCTTTCATTGATTGAGTGATCTCTAAAATGTTAATTAATTGATTTCGTTGCTTAAAAGATTAAGTCTGTAAGTAACAAAATTCATTCCATACAGAAAGAATATTTCTATCCGAGAAAACAATAATCTTTGAATTTAAAACATACAACCAAAAGGCGGAAAAGTACGATGGATTGTTCTGTAAAACGGACGTGCGCAAATAGATTATTTGTGTCGAAAAATCCGGAAACTTGTGATATTAAATTATTTATATCAATTGAGATTTGTATCACTGACAGGTAAGTTGAGGAAGCTACATTTCGCAATTTTTCTTTGTTAAATTTAATTTCATTAATGAAGGAATAATTCAGCAATCATCACCAATTCAATAAGTCAACCAATCAAACACCAAGCTAAGAAGGTTTTATTGCTATGTAAAGAAATCGAAGCAATTAATCCAAACATGCCGGAAAATCAAGGAGAAGTTCTAGTAAGGAGAAGTTCTAGTATTTGACATAAGTTCACAATCATCCTCCGTATCGAAGATACGATTTAAGTTGAGTGGAACCATGAAAGAAGACTTGAAACTCTTCTCATTCGGTAATCAAGTTCCGGAGTTTTATCCGACTACTAAGGTAGAAGTCGGAATAAGAACTTTACAATCTGAAACTAAACCATCAATACTTATTAGATTACTTAACGGATAAGCTACAAGTCATCAGGTCAACTCCTTACGATGTGCCGTGTATGATAAGTTAAAAATAGCTAGACGAAGCTAGTGGGTATTGGAAGCAGCCCGATATATTTATTGGAACCGACTATTTCTTCGACTTCATGTTGCCGAACAAAATTCATAACATAAAGTCAGAATTTTATTTAATCAACACAAAGGTTAAGCCAATAATAACCGGGAGTGGATGTACCAACGTGATTAGGAGTTTTAGTAAAGAACAACTTGACCTCGGGAGAGATTTTGTTAAAATCAATTCTATTCAAGTTACCACTGTCAACACAACTTCAGAAATAGACCAGTTCTGGAGACTAGAACTAATATGTATCCAAGAACAACCAAATGTCGAGGACGACGAGAAGGCTCTGAAATAGTTCAAACAAAGCATCCTTAAAAAAAATAAAAGATACCAAGTCTGCTAGCCGTGGAAAGACTGAAAGGTCGCCCTGCAGGACAACTATGGTCTTTGTCTTGGACGACTGCGAACATTAATAAAACGACTCCAAAATAGCAAACCACTGCTCAATCGATGCAACGAAATATTTAAAAAACAAATGCAACTTAATATTATCGAAGAAGTAAAACCGGATATGAATCAGGTTGGTGTTATACATTATTTACCGCATCACGAAGTATTAACTCCAGCAAATCAACAATAAAACTTCGAATCGTATATGATGCTCCGGCCCAACTTAAAACTATGAAAAGTTTAAATGATGTTTTATATCGCGGTCATTACCCGACTTGGCAGGTGTGTTACCTCGTTTCAGAATAATGGAAAATGAGATAATAGATGGTGTCGTGAATTTTCTTGAAGTTGTGAGTTGATGTCGAGCAGTAGCCAATTTTACCAGTATTTTTATACGAGCTGGGTTGATTGGTTGTGTTTGTTGGGTGCGTTAGGTTGAATTGAGTTGAGTTGAATTGGTTTGTATAGAGTGCACACCGGATAGTAAAACGTTTACTGATCACAGTAGAGCAAAAAAGGATCATGATCCCCGGTTAATATCATGGGGTTTATAAATGTTGAGAAGTGGGAGNNGNTTTCATTAAACAATTAAGCAGAAGCATTTGCATTGACCAGCAATAGCTAAGAT